GGGCGGAGTTGCTGAAGTGGTGGCAGGAGCAGGAGGAGCTGCGCGACGCCGCCTCGGACACGGGGTCAGAGCAGGACTTCACTCACGACATGTGCCCCGTCACGCTCAAGGGCGCAGACGACGACGCGTTCCTGCACCGCTGCCTCTCCACGGGGGTGTATGGCGCGGCAACGTCAATGCAGCGCGGTCTCGCCGTCGCCGCCTTCACGGCGCCGCGGCAGCTGCCGCACGCATGCGTGCTGTACGCGGAGGACCCTGCCGTGCCAGGTGGGGCGCATCAGCAGTGCCTGTACGTCGTCGCCGACGGCACCGTCACAGTGTCGCACCGCGGCGAACTTGTCGCAACGTATCGACGCGGACAATCCGTTGGTGAGGAGGTGCTGCTGCAGAAGCGGCGCGCCACACCAGCAACCACGGCAATTGTCACGAGTCCTACATGCACCGTCTATCAACTCGACCGCAAATCATTCCGTTGCCTGCTGATGGAGGCGTACCGACAGCAGATGAAGTCCCGCAGAGCTATGCTTCTCACGCAGCCGCTCGCGTCGCGGCTCAGTGTGGCTGCGTTTGCGGCGGTGTGCCACGACACCGTGACGAATGTGTTCAAACCCGGCGAGGTCATCCTTGCGCAGGGCGGCGATGTGCGCCGTGTGGATCTGCTGCTTGAGGGAACCGTCGACGTGGGAGTGCAGCACGACGGTGCGGCTTTGCAGGTCGTTTCGTCCCTCGGCGCCACGGACGTGATTGGCGCGCTCGACCTGCTGCAGCAGCAGCAGCGTGTGTCGGTGGCGTGCTACATTGCGAGGTCGCGCCTGCGCACGCTGAGCATCCCGGCGGCGCTCTTCGCCGACAGCTGCCTGCGCGCGCCGGCGGTGCTGGAGTATCTCGGGGAGCTGCAGGGCACCGCACGCTACGAGTTCCACCGACAGGAGACGCAGTTGCTGCTGCGGCTCATGGAGGAGGCGGAGGGGGGGCAAAGGGGGCGGCTGGTGCCATCGTCTTGAGGGGCACACGCACACGTGCGGCCGCCGCTGGAGCCTGCCATGACCCCCTTTCCACCACCGCCACCAAAGCAAACAACGAAAGCAAACGGAAATGAAGGGTGATATCTTTTTATACTCGGGGAGTAGAGTGGGTGCGTGCAAGGAGGTGCACAGGAGATGTATAGTGCACCACCCCATCAAATCGCGCGCCATTATTCGCGTGCATGCGCATGCGTGTGTGCTCCGTGTGTGCGGATGTGCGTTTGGCAGGCCTCCGTGGATTCTGAGTGCGTGCGTGCCTTTGTGTGTGTGTGTGTGTGAGGGGCGGTGCTGGTGGGCGATGTGGGCTGCTCTCTCTCTCTCTCTCTTCCTTCCTCCCCCTATGGATTGCGTGGGATCGACAGCTGTGTAGCCCTCCCGCCCTCCTTTGGCGTGCCCTCCTCCCTGCAAGATCCCACGCGATGCTGCGCTGCGCCACGACGCGCTGCTGCATGCGTGTGCTGTGCCTCACGATGGTGCCCGACGGCGGCGCCATGACGCTGGCGCTGCGGCGGCTCGGCTACACGCCGTATACGCTGCG